AGATTATTTAATTGTATTATATTTTTTATATCACATATTTAATCTTTGATAATAAATCGCGCGAAAAAAATACTGCTTTTAATTAAGATTTTTTAGAATAAAATATACAATAAAGAGGATAGATGTTTCAAAATTATATACATAATTCTTCAAATTCCGATATCGCGACACGTTCGATTATAATTGGGTGAACGGGCCGGTCGGTGTCGCCGTAATTTATCGTCGAGAACGCGACTCTGTGCCCCCCATTATGCAAAATCACAACAACAACACCGAGATCGCCTTGTCCACTCGAGAGAATCGGCTCCTCTCTCTCATCGGGCCCCGAAGAGGTGCCCGAGAAGGGCGAGAGAGTCATCAATTACGATTGGAAATAAATCGAAGGCAGATGCGACGATCGCCCGTAGGGCCCGTCGCGGCGGGTGACCGAGTTCTCACCCCTCGCAGCCCCCCGCCGACAATACGACTGTTTTCGACAAATACAAAACGATACACGAGCCCCCTGGATGCGATCGTAACACTCTGACGCGCCAATTTCCGATCCGTTCCCGTTTTATTGCGACGTCTTTAAGATGGCACGGCGCGAATAATTTCAAGAGCGTATAAAAATAAATTTTATTTCGATTTAATTATTTCTTTAATAGATATCATCTACTTATCTAAATGCGTTTATTACATTTTCTAAAAATTATTTAAGAATTAATTTCAAATATTTTAAGATTCTCTCTCATACATCTGTCAATTTATGTAAAGAAATTTCTCGCCTCTTATCTCCAACAAAAATTTCTACTAAAATTAATTGCAAGGAGAATTATCGGCCAGGTCTTATCTACCGAGCGTGGTTCCTGTACCGTTACTTTGACAACTTAATAAAAAATAATCGGTCGCTCGCGTTGGTAAACCGTAACGAGGTATACGATAGCTCTTTTATCTGTAGACCACAGGAAGCCGGTAGCGAGTTTGACGATAAAAATCCTTCGCGAAGCCCTGCGAGACGTGAGAATATTGTCGGTTTAACGCCTTAAAAGCTTCGCCTGCGAGATTTAATCAACAGTACTAAAAATATTGAATAGAAAGGATATTATTATTAGATTATAATATATTTAATAATTAAATAACATTTATAAATATGTAATTACATACATATATCGCGACAATAGGTCTCAAAGCGTATATTTCGCGTAATTTATTTATTTAAGCACAAATAAGGATCAAAGTAATAGAAAATCAAATTATAAATTGTTTTGTTTTGTTGCGACCTTTAGAGACAATAATTAAGAGTCAAATATACTTTGTCCGCGATGCTTTATGATTTAACACACACTACCCGACGATCTAAATATAATTTGGATTAAGAACGTGAAGTAAAATAATCAAATCGCAAGTCCGATTAATTAACGATAAGCTATATATATGTCATAGTATGTAAATAGCAATAAAATATATTTAATCGAAGATGCGCGGATATCGAAGATATTAATACGATGCTAAAAACGCCTCAAATCCAATAATTTTATTTCTTTATTCCTCGATAATTGTAGTCAATCTAAATTGTTCCCTTTCTAAATTAGATCCCTTAATTATAACGTTAGCGTAATAAATTTGATTAATATCCTCCGTTCTACATTCTCGTTCCCAAGTAAAGTCATCGTCGCGTTGTTTTTCGTATCGAATATAATCGCGAAAGGTTATACCCTTTGCAAAGTCACTCGATACTATCAATGAGAACGAGTCGTTGTTGAAGGTCTCCCTTCGTAGGGCTTCTTATAAGAATTCCTTCGCGCCGAATGCTCGTCGTCATCGTGTTACACTTACACCGAGTTTCGCGCAACTGCAAGAATCATCTCGTCTCGTATCTCCCGGTCGGACCGGTTATTCGCCCTTCGAACTTCGTCTCCTTCGTAAAGACGATCCTGCATGTCGTTTGAAACAATAAAGCCAATTCGACGGGGAGATTCGCAGATCCTATTTGACGGGATCAGGATAACGCTCCTGGATTCTGCTCCGACGCCCACGGCGTTGTTTCTGCAAGGGCGATTGAAGGGACCCTCCCCCAAGGCGACGGGATTAAGATGCATTTACGGCTTTAATAGCAACGATCGCATCGTGCGTTTCAATCGTGTTTCGATTTAATCGTTATACGTTCCTTCAATCAATATTAAAATTTCAAATATCGAAGCATCAACTTTCGAATTTAATTCAAAGCTAATAAACAGCGACAATATACTATCAAAAATAATTTAAAATCTCAAATTCACATTCCGAAATGTCAAAATACTACGACTGGAAGATATTAGGGGAGCGTTTTATTCGAGGTCACAATGTTCACAGATAGTTCACGCTTCGACGACAATGATTTCGCCTTTTGAGGAGATCAGGTCCTTTTGTTAAAACTTACAAAAATCATATGTCGAGCACATCTCCCTTTACGATGGAAAAGGACGTGAGGAAATGATTAATAGAATCTGGAAACGTTTGACTTCGATCCTCCTCGCGTGTCCTGCAGGCGTCCAAAAATAGTACACAAAGGCGTGCTAGTTTTACGTCGAAATAGTTTATCGTCACCAACAATGCAACAACAGCGTATAACGGTTAGGCGGAGAAAGTATTGAAATCATCACTCTTTCATAGGTCATTGGCTGAAAGATCAGTTCTCGGAGAAAACATTTGTCATTCTTTGCAAAGGCAATTTTCAATGAATCTTACGTAAGAATTTCTCGGAAATCATATATCTATAATCAATTAGAAGATATACAATACTTCGTTGCACAAAAGAATTCTGAAAAACATTTATTTCTCATTTCTACGCAGAAATATTCATTTAATATTTTGTATACGACGTAGAAATATTTATTTAACATTTCTGCATATAAAAAAATATTAAATAAAAGATGGGAATAGATTAAAAATAATACTGACTTCTCTTTAGAAATCCTAATATTATTCGTATTATGTAGTTATAATACACATCACGAATTCCTAGAATGGAACAATTATGACGATTACTTCATATCACTTAATACGCGAAATCTAATAGATCAAATAATATCCACAGCGCGAGATAGACATGTAAAAAGTACACACATCATTTAATAATCTTAATATACTCTTTATACACAGTTACATATAGGATATCTCGGTGTAAGCGCGGGGGAAAAAGAGCAAAACAAACGGAGAGAATCCGGCGCAAAAAATGATATCTTTAATCTATAAACTCTTTACAAATATGTACAATAATAACAAAAAATTTCTTCGTTTTTTTCCTTACGACGATCAGGTATTCAACTTAAAGGTAAAACGTAAGCAGACGCAACGATCCACATACTGACTCATCGTATTCGCTACGCCGTACGCCGAGAATCATTCGTGATTCATGCATTTCGTCAATGACGAGCCACCGCTCGATGATGCAATCGTCATGACGGTCCTTGTGTCTCTTTTTTGCGATCAGACGCAAATATTTTCGCGAATATCGCTCTCATACGAAAGGAGATGCGGCGATCTGCGTATCTTGCCGCGATGGAAGACGAAGAAAGATAGAATTACGATTATCATTAAAAATCATAAAAAGAAATCGTAAAAAGAATCGTAAAATATTGTAAAAAGAAGACACTTTCAATCACTTAGCAATCGTGAATTTATCTTTTCAAGTATATCAGTGAGTGCCTTTTATACCTATTCCGTGAGAATTTTAATAATGTCTAGATTAACAAAAAATATTAAATCAAAAAACAAAATTTAATATGTCTAAATAAAGTCAAAATAAATTGGATACTTTTTCAAGAAAATATTGTTGCATATCTTTCAAAGCTCTATTCTATGAGAATTTCAATATTATATATATAAAGTTTATATATATATTAATAAAACAAACTAAAAAAAGTCTAAGAAAATAAAATTTAATATATCCGTATATATAAGGATAAATTAATAATTATTATATTTTTTTATAAAAAATGTTCGAGAGTATAATATAATTTTAAAAAACGTCGAGTATTACGTACAATGCTTTCTTTAAAGAGACACCAACCAGCCGCACTTCCTGACGCACGCAAAGCTGCCTGTTCTGCGACATTTACCGTTGATAGTTCTCTTAACGAACGATATTCTACGACAGAACGTAAGCATTAAATTGGTTCACGAGATCCCCATAATACTGCGATCATCCTAAAAGCGATCAGCGCCCATTTCAATAAAAAACGAATCATGTATCGGATCGTAGGATATACTTATGTAAAGTGTCACGGGCGCTTTGACCTTCGAGCGATCGATTGGTACATTGAAGATGGGCGCTATTTTTATCACCGTTGCAAAATGATGCGTGCAAGATCCTTGGAAATAAATAACTCTCATTTTTTAAATTTATCACGCGAGAAATACATCGGATAATTGAGAGAATCTAAACAAGCCTACAATTAATTTAATCGCGATTAACTAAAAAGGAATCGTCTAAACTATCGTTTGTAAACTATAATTAAATATAATAATATATTTACAAAAAACTTAGAACACTCGCAGAGATGAGGATGAAATTCACTTAGTACTATGCCAATACGTCTGCTGAGAACATCATCACGACCAAAAGAGAAACCTCTCTAATGCGTGAAGTTCACATTCTTCCAAACCAAAGGTAATTGATTTGTTACGAATAATAAAACGAAAGCGAGGTCACGTTCCGTGTGAATATACGACGAAAAACACATTTATCCGCGCGCAACTTTTGCGATTCGTTGTCGATAACATGCGTTATACTCGGTGCATCGCGACGTTAATGCACGCGTGACAGATAGGACGGAATGCGAGCTCGCGTCGTTCGCGTCGTTCGCGTCGCAGAACAGGCGAATCCTATACACCATTCTCCTCGAGGATGCGAAAGAACGGGGGGGG